TAAGCTATCAGCAAATTTCTTACTTTATTTAATATAATATTTTGAGATAGGGCCTCATGTAGCCCAGGCTGGTTTCAAGTTTAGTATATAGCTGAGAATGAGAACTTCTGATCCTTCTGCCTTTACCCCATAAATCCGGAGACTAAAGATAAGTACCACCATGCCACATTTAATACAGTGCTGGGGATCAAACCTGGGACTTCACGCATGTGAGATAAGCACTCTTCAACTACATCCTTCATCCTCATAATCCTCCTTAATGTTCCAAAACTCAATCTGAACAGTGAGTTCTGGCTTGGACCTGTCTGTAAGCCTTTGTCTACAAAGGTTTAACAGGCACACCCAAGTATGCTGCATTATCCTTTTTCATTCAGGATTAAAGTGCCAGGATGCCTTACAGTGAAAATGCTGCCTGGTGTGCCCACCTGCTATCCTCCCACTCGGTCTCTTTCTCTTCTCCCTGGCTGCCTTAGCTCCAGCTGTATGTTAATGGGAAAATGAAATCAGAGCCTGAGGAGTGAGTAGTGTTGGCTGGGAGAGCCAGATGGGTTCAAGTTTAGGGCTCAGAGATATTTTAACAGAAACATGTATGTGAACATTCCAGAGGAAATAAGTATAAACATGTTCTGAAATACATTTAATTTATAAAGAACACATGGCTTTTATACAGACATGATCAAATAATACCATGCTAGTGAACTTTGATAATGCATGTCAGAAGTTTTAAGCATTAGCCTAGAATATCGGTATTGCTGTGAACCGCTGCAGTGTATTGCATGAAATTTATGCACTCATTAGATACTGCATGGCTTTGGGGGGGAATTGATTAACCAGAATAAAATCATCATTGTGGGGACTAACCCTCACACTTGTTTACTACAGGAATGAGAGATAAGAGACTTAGTTAGAAATAGAGAATGGAGAGAAAACACAGAATAGACTCGGGAGGGCCTGAATCCTTATCCACCGGCCCAGAGCTTTATTCCAAAGGTCTATTCATAACAACGCCAAGGGGTGGAGCAAAAGACCTCTCCCTTGCTAGTTACAGTCACCTGGTACCGAGGCCCATGGTCCAATCAACCTCTTATGCAGTCCTGCTGGGAACAGCCACTAGGAAACCTAGTGAGCGCGAACACATCATCATCCATATTGGTAAAAGGAGCTTCAAAATCCTTAATACTGGGCCCTAAGTGAGATATTCTTGAGAATCCCCACTCTACATTTGTAAGTTTGAAGACGAACTTGGACTAGTCTACAGGATCCCTGTCAGGATTTGCTACATTCAGGTTGTAGATATCAGTCTCTGTGGAGCAGATCAACTCCCCCGTGAATGAACTGTGCAGTTTGGACGATGGGAACAGGGAGATCTTTAATGCTCTCCTTCCCCTGCTTCTCTCCTTTCCCATCCTCTCCTTTCCTTCCTCCCTTTCTCCTCCTCCTTCTCTTCCCCCTCCTCCTCCTCCTCTTCCTCCTCCTCCTCCTTCTCTTCTTCCTCCTCTTCATATCGGCCATTGGTCTGGGTTGTGAAGAATGCTGAGGAAAGTGTTCAGTATTCATAGACCTGAATGAATCTTCAATTTATATCTTAAATAAAAGTAAATAATATGAAAGGTTCACTTTACATGACACTCATGAGAAGGTAAGACATAGATACAGTAAGTACATCTCAGTTTCCAACAAACTTGAAAATAAAGAAAAGGAAAGGCAAAAGAAAGTACTGTCTCCAGCATATCTGCAATCCCTGCCCAGTGGTCTGTGTCAGAAAGAGTTCTTCAAGAACCCGTTGGCCTTCCACTCAAGAACTCTCTGTTCCAAATGTTTGCCCCTTGTTGGCAGGATGTTTTAAATACGTAGATCTGTGAGTATGTAGCGTATTGCAATAGCTGAGGTTTTGGTGGTTTAAAAGAGGGTAGACCCTTGTTTCTGATTACCATGGCTTAGTAGAGTCCAATGTTTTTAGCATTTGAAATGGTTGGGCTCTTTTGGTACCCTAGAGTTGTTCTGGACCTTCAGTTTGGAAGCATAGATTGTGGAAATGACCAAGCTGTTAGGAAGTTCATGGTTTAGGCAGTTACGGTTAGTGGCCACTTCAGATTTCTCAGGCATGGCAAGTCATCAGCCCATCTGAAGAGACATTGCAGTTTAGGAAATAAAGCAAAGACAGGAGTTGAAATGGTGATGGTCCCTGCAAAGCCTTCTAAGAGTTTGCTTCTCAAAACAATGGTTAGCTCCTAGTCACACAGGTAGGAACTTCCCAACCTTCCACATGCATAACATTGTATTTATGTGAATAGCTTCCAGATTTTTAAATATCTGAACTACATATATGACTCATTTAGATAAAATGAAGACCCAATTCTGGTGTTCTTTGTAGTTTAATAATATACCAGTTTTATCGTTGTGACCTAAAAGAGTTAATACCATCAACAGGAATTCGTGATCTCACTTATAGAGAGATACTTGGAAATTCTTGGTTCAGTGTTTTTCTAGATTGTGTTTTCAAAATGAAAGCAGCAGACTATGTCAAGAGAGGCCACAAAGATCACTGAGTTCCTTTAGTACCTGTATAAGCTTGGTTGCATTGGAGTTTCCAGCAGGGTCTTATTTCTACTTTCCAAACTAACACAAGGCTCCTGAAACAGAGCATATTACAGAAGCCACAGCCTTCTCTTTCTGTGTTGGCAGTGGGAGTTTGTCTGACTTCTGTATTAATACCTCTCATTCTTCTCTTATCACATATTGAATGAAAGGGGGCTGCTAAGCTGCAGCAATTCAAATACAACCCTTTCTGTACTCACATTCTTTCAAGGCTTCCAGAGTCGAAAAATACAATGTAGCCATGCCTGCATTTTCAAAACAGATAGTTTTCCGTACACAACAGATATATAAAATACTCCATGACATCTTTCTGTATCACCCATCCTGCATGATTTACACGCTTCAAATCACTTCACATGCACCTTACCACAACCCTAAAGGATGAATAGGGCACATTTCACTCTAATAATTTATGGATGATGATTCAGTTCAAAGAATTGCAGCAGATTTTCTACAGCCACATATTTAGGATGTGGGAGAAAACAGGATCATAAAGCTATATTAATGTTCCAGATTCTGTCCAGGAAACTCCACTTAATACGAGAGCATTATTGCTGGCAGCCAAACATGCATTATGATGCTATCACAATACAGATGTCACGCATTTTGCAATTTATGTTCTGGGGTAGCAGATAACATTCTGAACTTCTAAGTCTCACTGTTAACCTCTTGATTGCAGGAAATTTCTCTGCTATTCTTACCCCTGGTTTCTTCTTAATCTCATTTTCCAACAGGAACTTTAAGACTTGACCTAGGTACTACTATTACCTGTTTCTCTTTTCTGGAAGGAATACTCACAAATATAATTTAGTGTTACTTTCAAACTTCTAATAAGTATTACTTTTTACTGATCCTGTGACTGAGTTTACATGGCCAAAGATCTTCTTAAGGCCCCCTTGCTCTTTCCTCTAGCAAAAGATATGATCCTAGAAATGGCAAGAGAGTGCTTTTGCCTTATGAACTTGCTTTGAAATGGAGGATGATGCTGACATTTGTAAGTGTTTAAAGAAATTGTTTTTATAGTGATTTCTATAAAGTCCTTCTTAGCACACATCCCTATTCCCCATCTCTGTGTTCTCCATCTCTGTCTGTATTCCCTGACTCTGTCTGTATCCCTTTCTCTGTCTGTACTCCCTGTCTGTGGCAGTTTGAATGTAATTGGCCCCCACATGCTCATAGAGAGTGGCACTATTAGGAGGTGTAGCTTTGTTGGAGTAGGTATGACCTTGTTGGAGGAAGTATGTCACTGTGGGGGTGGGCTTTCAGGTCTCATATATGCTCAAACCATGCTGAGTGTCTCAGACCACTTCCTCTTGCCTGCCCATTAAGATGTAGGTTTCTCAGCTTCAGCACCTTGTCTGCCTACATGCCACCATGTCCCACCATGACGACGATGGACTAAATCTCTGAAACTGTAAGCCACCCCATTAAATGTTTTCCTCTATAAGAGTTGCTGTGGTCATGGTGTCTCTTCACAGCAGTAGAAACCCTAAGACATGGTCTCTATCTGCAGTCCCACCTCTGTCTGTATTATCTCTCTCTGTCTGTATCCCCACCTGCAGACACCCGCTGTCTTAGTAAACACCAGCCTTTTAAAATGGTCGCCCAGGGTATCTTGTCAGGCTTTGCTCCCACTTTTCAGAAGCTCAGATAAAAAGTCCTTTCCTCAGTGCTTTTGAAGTTATGCATTTATTAGGTATCAAGTAGTGAATCATAATTCTTTATGATATTTTCAAAATTTTATGTTAATGCAAATTTGATTTTTCTTCCACAGAGATCCACATGTTCATTCTAACATATCTTTCTCTTCAGCTTTTTTTTTTTTTTTTTGGTTTTTCGAGACAGGGTTTCTCTGTGTAGCTTTGCACCTTTCCTGGAACTCGCTTTGGAGACCAGGCTGGCCTCGAACTCACAGAGATCCGCCTGCCTCTGCCTCCCGAGTGCTGGGATTAAAGGCGTGCGCCACCACCGCCCAGCCTCTCTTCAGCTTTTAAGGAAACCATTTTTCTAATTTTGCAGCCCAGTTAAACAACAGGATGTTTCATTGTGTTCTTTCAGTATTGAGGATTCCAGTAGGAATTAACACAGAAACCTGGTCAACACTGATGAATGGATTCCCAGCAGCACAATAAGGAAAAGAAAAAGAATGGTCACCATTCAGAAAGAAAACTATTGGGTTAATTTTAATGAAACCATGTATACTGTACTTAGTAAAATTCAGGACACTTCACAACCTTGTAATACTCTCAAAAACACACAAATACTGAATCCATCAAGGTAAAGAAACCCATTATCCAGTTCACTGTGCATCTATAAAACAAAAATGTGTCTGACATTCACGTCTTTAGGAACCTTGAGGATGTCACCTGAATGTGATGCCCAACTCTCCTCTGTCCTTTTAGATGGTTATGTTTGTGCTGCAGCTGGGCAGTACCACGTTCCTAGTTACAGAGCCTGTGATCAGCGCGATGACCACGGGGGCCGCCACCCATGTTGTGACTTCACAAGTCAAGTATCTCTTGGGAATAAAAATGCCATATATATCTGGACCACTAGGATTCTTTTATGTAAGTTTTCCAAATTTCTGTTTGTATAATTTGCGTGCATGTTTCGCAAAGTTGAATTTAGCTTATTAAAGTACTGAGTATTTTTTCTTTGCCACAGAAACTTGAGTTTAAACAAAAAAAAATTAGGATGTTTTAAATCCTATTAATTAGTGTATGAAACTAGTTTAATGAGTACAATCTACTGATTTTAGAAATAATTCCTTATAGTGAATAACTGAGTTGGTGACTGATGAGAAAAAGTGGCTGTTTTTGTGATTCAGATCTGTTGCCAAGTTCTAATGAAATCCATCTACTGGGCTTTTGATCCACTAACAACAGCACACTCTCAGAATTGTGAACTCCAGTAGGGATCAAAACAGAGGTGTGGTTGGTATTGGTGGCTGGAGCCCAGTAGCAGACAATCAACTATTAAAAGCCGTCTGAACTTGAGAGAAGAATGACTGACTAGTTTCAACATATTTCTACAATAGCATTCCATTGCTCCTGCTTTCTTTGGAGACTAAAACCAATGACTGCTTAGGACTTTGCATTCAGTTTGAACTTTGTAACAACAACAACAACAACAACAACAACAAAATATTCAAGTAATGAACTTCATAACAAACTTCACTTTACTTAATTTTATGCATTGCTGTATGCTAGGTAATATCAATGTTCTATAGCAAGAGTGTGTCACCCTTAATCTTGAAGCAAATTGTTTAAATAGCAGCAGATATATGGAGCTACAATAACTTACTGGTCTCATTTCTGTTTTGGAGGTTATTACTAGTACACCTCAATTTTCTAGTCTACAGTAGGGATTCACTTCATTTGCATATCATTGTCTGCATTACATTATTGCCTTTCCCCCCCCTTTTTCTCACGTGTATGTGTGTTCTCAAGTGTGTGGGCACACATGTGTGGGGGACATATATGTGGAGGCTGAGGCTGACTTAGGTAGTTTTGCTCACTTTCTCTCTACTTTATTCATTTGGACAGGGCATCTACTGGACCCAGTGTCCATGAGCATGGCTAATTTACCTACCCAGTTTGCTCTGGAAATCCCTGTCTTCTAAGCACTGGAATTACAGTCAGGCCCTTGCCTCCCTGGCAGTGGCACTGTTTAAGGGTCTGACTGTCTGTCTTCATGCTTGCATGGCAAACACTTTAATTTATGAGCCATCTCCTAAGCCCGTGATTGGTTATTTAATACAGATGTCAAGTTTTGGAACTACTGTATCGAAATGGTAGAATATTTTTACCAAATTTCTATCTGGAAATTCAACATATTGATAATTTACTCCAACTTTATCATTGCCAAGACTGGTTATTACTGTTTTTAAATAGTACCAAATATCTGTGGAGTAGGTTCTCAAGTCTTTTGGGCATATGTCAAGAAGTGGGTTAGCTGGGCCATAGGTAGATAGAAAAAGGAGAAATGTAGTAATTATAGTATAATCTCAAAAAATAAAAGATTCTGAATACAGTGAATGCATATATGGAATTCTCAAAGAGTTAATAAAAGCACTATTTTTTAAGTGTGAGAATAAGAGATATGCAGGAATTCCCCTTAATGGCATTATATATATATGCAGTGTTTGGGACATGTGCCCAGCACTAAAGAGAAGAGGATCTGAATCCTTGCCCTCCTGAAGCTCTACTTTTAGTATGTCAAACAGAAATGACCAAACACACACAAATAAATACAAATTGGAACCAATGTTATGAAATTTAAAAATTACCAGATTGGTATTTGGTTAAAAAGTATCAGTTGTATTACTGTCCCATCTGCTTCAGTGGTAAGATAGTAACGAACATGCAGTATTGGTGGTATGGTGCTGCAAGTTGGTTCTGAAATTTTGTTGCTTAGGTAATATCTGGCTCAGTGATTCATTCATTGCAAGAAGGCTTAAAATCAAAACAAGAAAACTGGAACATTGCCTGGAAGCAACATAATTCCATGCTCCAACTCAAACAAAAACAGACCAAAGTAGCTGTAAGCCGTCAGATGACTGGCTGAGAGTTAAGACCTTTGGTGACACCCAGTCTACAGGACAGAACAAAATTGGAGAAGATTCTGCCTTGACCTGCCTGGGAACAGCGTATGTGCAGAGTAGAAAACACACATGGGTTAGAACTGGGCCCTGTTTGGCCATATCCATGTATACAAATGATCCTCTTTGTTTTCAGGAGTGTGTTTAAAAAAAAAAAAAAAGGCCACACTGACTTGGGAATAACATCCCACCCCTCATTAGTTACTGTGTGGACATGCTCCCTGAAATATTATGTATATGATTCCCTTCTCTCATTTTTTTGTTTGTTTTCTTGTGAGGTGAACTGCAGGTTACTTTATCTTATCTAGATCAAACACTGTGAGGCCTTTGAAGATCTTTTGTACGATCTCACACTGAAACTGAATCAGATTTAGATGCACGCTTAGATTGCAGATTTTAAATTCGCATTTCTCAGCTACTGGAAGATACAAGGCTTTGTTCTGATGGAAAATTTTTAAAAAATGTTACTCTTGCTGCTCTAAGTCAGAGGATCCTGTGCTCTTAGGTTCTTTGGAAGTGATGGTTCATTGTTCTTGGTCAGTGTGCTAACGCTTCTGTGTCAAAAATGGCAGTGATTCAAGACAGAAATGATACAAACTAATAATCCCAGACCTCAAGAGGCTAAGGAAAGGAAACACTGTGAGTTTGAGGCCAGCCTGGAATGTATAGTGAATTACTGCCTAGCTTGAGCTACATAGTGAATTACCAGCCAACCCATAGTGCATAGTGTGACTCTGTCTAAAAAAGAAAATGTAGTAAGTTGAGTGTAAGTTGAAAATTAAGCTATTTACAATGGATAATTTTACTGGGATAGTTGAAAATGAGTTTTAGCATAGTTCAATTGAGAGAAAATGAGTTTTAGCATAGTTCAGTTGAGAGAATCTGATGATCAGGATGTAAATTTGGACTTGCTCCTGATTATTTAAGTTGTACCTGAAAGAGGAGGTCTGACCTCAGTGTTACAGTGCAGAGGAGATGAAATCATTCAAGGCCTTGGCCATCTGGTCAAAGGAGGACCACTTTCTTTCTTTCTTTTTTTTCACTTGGAGGAAAGTCAATGAACATAATTTAGGGTTTTTTTTATTTTTTGACTGCTTCCTTCTTGATTTTCAGAACTCTTATATCCTGTTTGAAAGCTACCCAGGCTGTGGAGAGAAAATGAACACACTACTTACATATACCCTGTCACATAAAGTAACAAAGAATTTTTTATAAGCTTGCATAATGAGATTGTCACAGATCCTAATAGTCGGGGACACTGGTTTTCATTTTCAAAAGTCAAGTTTATCTTATATGTCCTCTAATTCACTCCAGTAGCCTTGATCTTTACCATCAATTTTGAGAGGAAACAGTTTTCTCCTTTTGTTCTGCTCTTTTGGCCTGCAGTAGATATTTTCTGATGTGTACAACAGTGGTATCCCCAACGCCTCCTTCTTTAGGGATGCTGCTCTGTGCAATAAAGAAAGGTCTGTTATCTAAGTTGAACTGGTAGCATCTCTGTTCATTAGCTTTTCTGGGCTTGAAAATGTACTCACCTCAGTGGAACACTTTTAGCAGATGACTTAAGTCAGATCCATGAAGCGGTATAGGGTTAGTTTTGCTCTCTTGGATTATAGAAAGGACTTTCAGTTGTTTTGAGGGGTAGACATTGCTACAGTTTGGATGTGAAATGTGTCCCAAGGGGATGGATTTAACACGAAGGCTTGTACCCTAGCCTTTATGGAAAGTAGTAGGATCTTTAAGAAGTGGAGACTAGTGGAAGGGCGCTAGTTTATCTTTTTCTCCCAGGCCACAAAATAAGAAGCTTTGCCCCTGCCATAACTCGTTGCCTTTGCTACAGACTGGGACGCAAAGGGGCCAAATGGATATGGACGGAAACCTCTGAAACTATGAGCTGAGAGAAACCTTTTCTATCCATAAGGTGACTGTCTCAGATGTTTGTTACAGTAGTGAGGAGCTGGCACAACACAAATTCTAGCTCAGTACCCTTGGCCACTCTTTGACTTGTAGCTGCAAGTTGTTCACAAGTTTGTTCATGGGAGCAGAGGTTCATAAATCTTACTTGCTACTCAGATGACCACCCAGAAGTTAAAGGGTACCCATATTTATAAGAAGCTTTTAGAATAACTCTCACACCCTCTGTGTTAGGATTCTTCAGAGGAACAGAACTGATAGAATAAAAAATACATATGAATTATGTTATATGAGCTATATATCTATATCTATCTATCTATTGATCTATCTATCTATCTATCTATCTATCTATCTATCTATATGAACTATATATGAAACATGTCTTAGGGTTTCTATTGCTGGGAAGAGACACCATGACTATGGCAACTCTTATCAAGGAAAAAATTTAATTGAGGTGGTATGCAGTTTTGGAGGTTTAGTCCATTATCATCATGGTGGGACATGGTGGCATGTAGACAGCCATTAGAGAAGGAGCTGAGTGTTCTACATCTTGATCTGCAGAAAACAGGAAGTGATCTGAGTCACTCTGAGTGTAGCTTGACAGGAGACCTCAAAGCCTACATAGGAGCACAGTTCCTCCAACAAAGCCATACCTACTCTAACAAAGTCATGTCTCCTAACAGTGCCTCTCCCTTTGGGGGTCATTTTTTTTCATGCCACCACAGTACACACACACACACACACACACACACACACACACACACACACACACACACACAATTTAATATAGTCACTTACAGGTTGTGGTCCAGCTAGTCCAACAACCAAAAGGCCAATAATCCAGTAGTTGTTCAATCCATGAGGCTGGATATCTTAGCTGGTCTTCAATCTACATTGGAATCCTAAAGAAATAGGCTCCTATACCAGTAAAGGAATGCCTCAGCATCAGGATAGATGAGCTTGAGAGCCAGAATGAGGGTAAGCAGGGAAAAAGCAAAAGCTTCCTTCTTCCTTGCCTTTTTTGTGTAGACTGGCAACCAGAAGGTGTGGCCA